TTGCAATAATTATATATTATAGATAGTCTGTAATTGGAATTAAATGAATGATTGTCATCTATTACGGGATGTGTCCATGTATAAATGTCTTAATTGAAAATTGAATTGAATTGTTTAAGTTGCTCATAAAAGTTTTAAATAGATGATAATTTCACTTTTATGTGAAATGCAAATAAAGGTTTTGGATTGAAAATCAATCCTATAATGTAAATTGAAATTATGGGTTTTAATTCTATTTATGGTACATAATGTGTTATTATGTGAATAATGTGCATATTTATTATAATTAATAAAAAATGCCATGAATGGTTAATAACAAATAAAGATGTTATTTATTTGAAATTAAGTATAATAAATTTTGTTAGTCATGACCAAAATGTTAAGGTTATTTGATTTCAAATTATTAATGATTTTATTTCAATCACCCATAGTGTAAAAGCTAAAATTATAAATAATTGAACTATGAGTTAATTGATATTCATTATTATAAGACATTTCAGGATCACCCAAAGGTGTTAAGTGATTTTAGTTGATGCATATTTTAATTATCATTAATGTTATAAAATGGTTAACGTCATTATGTTTATATATTAGTGAATCTCATATTTCACAAGAAAGAATGCAAAGATTAGTAAAAAATGAAATCCTTCCGGATTTAGATTTTTATTGATCTGAATATATGTGTGGATTATATTAAAGACAAGCAAACAAAATACACAAAGAAAGGAGTCACAAGAAGTACTCAACTTCTTAATCATACACATAATAAAGAGAAGTATTTCATCACCTTCATTGATGATTTCTCGCGTTACAGATATGTCTATTTACTACATGAGAAATCTCAAGTAGTGAATGTCTTGAAAGTTTATATAAATGAAGTGGAGAGACAATTAGACAGAAAGGTGAAAATTATCAGGTCAGAAAGAGGTGGTGAGTATTATGGAAGATATGATGAAAGTGGACAACACCCTAATCCATTTGCTAAGTTCCTGGAGAAACGTGGTATTTATGCTCAATACACAATGTTAGACACACCACAACAAAATGGTGTGTCAAAAAGGTGTAATTGAATCTTAATGGATATGATTATGAGCATGTTAAGTAATTCATGTTTACTTGTATCGTTTTGGATGTATGCTTTGAAGACTGTCATGTATTTGTTGAACAGAGTTCCTAGTGATGTTGTTCAAAAGACTCATTTTGAGTTATGGACAAGTAGGAAACCTAGTTTGCATGTTTGGGGTTGTCAGAAGTAAGAATTTATAATCCGCAAGAAAAGAAATTGGATGCAAAAACAATAAATGAATATTTCATTGATTATCTAGAAAAATCAAAAGGGTATATGTTGTATTTTTCTACCCATAGTACAATAATTGTTGAAACTGGAAATGCTCGGTTCATTGAAAATAGTGAGACTAGTGAGAGTGAAATTTTACAAAATGTGGAGATTATGGAAGTTAGAGTACAAATTCCTTAAACTAGTACATTTTCTTCAAGGTTGTTGTTCCACATGTTGTAGAACCACACGATAGTTAAGAAGAATAACAAATTAATGATCCCGAGATTAACAATAAGCCGATAATAGAACAATCACAAGAAATAATATTAATAAGATCTTATAGAGAAAGAAAGTCTGCTATTTCGAATGATTATGTGACTTATTTACAAGAGTCAGAAAATAAGTTACGTATTAATAATGATCTAATTTCATTTTCAAAAGTCATTAATGGTGATAATTTTGATAAATTATTAGATGCTATGAAAGATGAGCTTAAATTAATGACACATACTAGTGTATGAGATCTTGTGAAATTGTCAGAAGGATGCAAGAGTGTTGGGTATAAATGGGTCTTTAAGACTAAACGTGACTCTCATGACAATATCAAATTTTACAAGGTTCGATTTGTCGCCAAAGATTTTACTCAGAAAGATGAAATTATTTATAAGGAAACTTTCACCTGTTTCTAAGAAAGATTGTTTTAGAATTATCATGCATCAAATGGATGTTAAAACTATCTTTCTAAATGGGAATTTAGAGGAGTATGTTTATATGGATCAACTGGTGGATTCATTGAAGAAGGAAGGGACACATGATGTGTAAACTTAAGAAATCAATATATGGACTTAAACAAGCTTCTCGATAATGTTATCTTAAGTTCAATGATATTATTCTATCATTTGAATTAAAAAAAAAAAGACACTATTGATTGGTGTATATATCTGAATATCAGTGGGAGTAAGTTTATATTTTTGATTCTGTATGTTGATGATATCTTGCTTGCGCCTAATGATCTTGGTCTATTAAGTGAGACTAAAAAGTTTCTCTCTAACAACTTTGAAATGAAATATATGGGTGAGACATACTATGTGATAGGAATAAAAATATTCCATGATAGATCACAAGGATGGTTAAATTTGTCTCAGAAAATATATATTAATAAAGTTTTAGAGAGATTTAGAATGGATAAATATTTAAATCTTCCGTTCCAATATAGAAAGGAGACAAATTCAGTTTCATGTAATGTCCAAAGAATAACTTGGAATATAAACTGATAAAAATATCCCTTATGCATATGTTGTTGGGGGTTTTGTGTATGTTCAAACATGTACGAGTCCATATATTAACTTTGCAGTTGATATGCTAAATAGATACCAGAGTAATCCTGAACTAAATTATTGAAAAATTGCAAAGAAAGTCTTAAGATGCTTATAAGGAACAAATAATCATATGCTTACTTATAGGAAATCTGATCACTTTGAGATAATTGGATATACATATTCAAATTTGGCTGGTTGTATGGATACACGAAAGTTTATATTTGGTTATGTGTATCTTTTAGCCAGAGGAGTAATTTCATGGAAAAGTGCTAAGTAGTCCTTGTTGCATCCACCTTGGAAGCTGAATTTGTGACATGTTTTGAGGCCACAATTCAGGCTAATTGGTTGCGAACTTTTATTTTAAGACTTGGAGTAGTCGACAACATTACCAAGTCGTTAAAAATTTATTGTGATAATTCTGTAGCAGTTTTCTTTTCTATAAACGATAAGTATTCTAAATATGCTAAACATATGGAATTGAAATACTTTGTCGTTAAAGAAGAAATTCAAAAACGAAGAGTGTCAATAGAACATATTAGTATTGATTTTATGATTGTTGTCATATTAAGGAAAGAGAGATAATATAGTAGTATATAGAAGGGAATATGTCGATTTAATGACATGTAATCGTCATAACTCTTGTTATAGGTGTACCTTTAATTATGAATAATGATATAAGGTCCTTTAATATGTATTATGACTTAAGTATTAAATTACGAAATGTTATGACATCACATGAGTCAAGTGAGAAAATATTAGAATTAATTTAATTAATTAATTTTATTATATGACTTATTTGAAATATAATGATGAACCAAAATGTGATTTAATAAAATATAATGACTTATTGGTTATTATGAAAAGTCATAATAAAATAAAATAAAATAAAAACTTACGATAACCAATTTGATGAATGTTAGTTAATAAAGAGGATTAAAGTCTTGTCTCTGACATAAGATTATTTTTACAGTGAACCATAAGAAAAATATGACAAGAGAAATAAAGACGAAGAAATAGATTGAAAAAAAGAGATTGAAGAATAAAAATATTAAAAATTTACATTCTCATTAGATATTTATCATGAATCGATATTAATCTTTTTATGAAGATTCGTCTGCGTTATGAATCTAAATATTATGAAGAGTATAACAATGTCTAACAATTGAGTGTCGGAATAAATCAAACTAAACGTAAAAGTTATCGAAAGTGTAAGAAAAAAAAATTTGACACCCAATTTTTTTTAAGCATCGATATATAATTTTAAAATATTAATTTTTATTAATAAATAAATAAATAAATAATAATATAAAATCTAAAAAATAATTTGTTGGATGATATTCGGAAAGAATAGTTCGTCCATATATTACAACCGGTGAAAAAACATCATAGGGAAGTGTAAAGAAAACGTTTTATCAAACAATTTGGTGAGAGCATGGAGTTAATGTCGGTAGTTTTCTGAAATCTGAATTCCTCTGCCAGAATATTCTTTCTTTTAATTCAGGCATAAAAGAGTTAATTTTATATATTTTTTCTTTTAGAATTCTTTTTGTTTTATTCTTTTCACTAAAGTATAAAAGAATTAAATTTATAAACTTTTTTTTTAATTCTTTTATGATCTATGCTTAAAATTAAAGTTGTACCGAGTTTTGGTTCCTTGATTTACACTCCAAACTGGCATTTTTGTTTTGACTATTATTCACAAGAAAGAGCCTAATTTTAATTGTTGGCATTTTTTTTCCGTTTTTGTTTCTTTCCCGTTATCACAGACCAAGCTATGAGTTTTTCACCTCTCACACTATCACATATACATATACATTGTACTGCAGAGTGGTGGTCAAAATATAACCGAGTCCAATAATTGAAGATTGTTTAAAGAGGAGAGACTTAAAGTATCCTTATTCCTATATATGGTAATAACCATCGTTCGCTAATTTTTCTCTCTATCTCTATCTTTTTTCCTCAAGGTGTGACTTTGACCATGGAAAATGTTTGATGTACCCTCAAAGTTCCACCCAATAGCCATTATTTCATGTTTTTCATTTAAATTTAAAAAGGATAAATTTGTTTTATAATAAAAAAACTGAACGTTAATGAGGTTGAATTGGAAGCTTTAACTTTTTGGGGGTGTTTGTGAATCAGTGACTATCTATTATTTTTCTTTCATTTTCCCCCTCGTCACGCGCCCCTCCCACTCATCTTCACAACACAACAAGCCATAACCTCCCTCTTCTACGTTGACTTTGCTTCCCTACAACAACAGATCTCCTACGAAATGAATTTAATTTCAAGTTTGGCACTATCACAAACTAAAGTGTTCCTTGTTATAAAATCACTCCATTTTCCTGCTTTCTTTTCCCTCACATCATATTTCCACCTTCCTCCCTCTTCACTACACCCCAATTATGCTCATTCCAATCATATCTTCAATTTTAATAATGCTTCTGATATTTTTCTCCTTTTCACTGGGATACTATGTAGGCAGGTATATATAAATATATATAGATATACATGTGTGTATGGAATTTGTAACTCTCAAATTACACACAGATAATGTCATTGCATTTACGTTATGTTTATAATTCCTTGCTTGCTAAATTGTCTTTAGTTGACAACTAATAATTTTATGATTTGATTTATGCTTACAAGGTGTGAAGCTAGCAGAGCCAGCGATATAACGAACTCATTCAATAACAAGGGTAATGGAACACAGGACTTCACCAACACAACAATAATCATCATCAATGGAGGATGGTCATGTTGCTCAATGTTTAACTTGCAGGCTGGTAAGTTAGCAAATAGCCAAAAGTCTCTAGTACACCAACTATTTTAAGGTTCCTCCTTTGGTTCGATACAAGGTGCAGTTAGCTTGTTTAAATGAAGAATTCATGGACATGTCGGAACTTAACCCACATCATTAAGTGAACTCTAGTCCGCTGGTTTGTCACCTACTCCGGCACCCCAGATGCTTCCAGTACCTCACTCCAGAGTTGTGCTGCGTTTCCGTGAGTTGAGTTTTCCAAAAGGAAGAAGCGAAAATGACAGAAGATACAAAGGAGTAAGGATGAGGAAGTGGTGCAAGTGGGTGGGTCCAAATTGAGGATCCCGCTCTTTCACTTCCTCCCGTGGCCGCCGCCGTCTTCTACCTCCGGGGTCCCCAGGCCGGTCTCAGCTTCCTCGACCTTCTTGTCGGAGAAGGCACGGCCTCGTTGACGATTACGACAAGCAGCGGTTCTGAAGTCCTTGTTATTGTTCTTCCTAAAGAGGCCGCTGACATGTTACAACCGGCAACGAGGCGGTGCCTTCTCCGACAAGAAGGTCGAGGAAGCTGAGACCGGCCTAGGGACCCCGGAGGTAGAAGACGGCGGCGGCTACGGGGAGGAAGTGAAACCGCCACTGGAGTACCCAAGTTAAACTACCAACCCACTTGCACCACTTCCTCATCCTTAATCCTTTGTAACTTCTGTCACCCTCCACATCCACGCAGCTTCACTCTCCTCCTTCACCACGCTTCACTCTCCTCCTTCTCTTCCTCCTTCACCACATTGGCCTAACTTCTTCGGAGAGCAAGCTTGGTGCTCCCGAAGTGCCCACTGTTCTAAGTTCGTATAATTTATAATTTTCATCCCAAATTTAATAAATATTTAATATATTTATTTATATATATACAATTTTATTACCTTCGATCATATAATATAATTTATAAATTAAACTTAAACTTATTTATTATTTAATATATTTATATAATTTATAAATTTAATTTAAATTTATTGATTATTTAATATATTTATATTTTATTGATTTATATTTATTTATTATTTATTAATAATATATTTTTATACACAAAATCAATTTATAACTATTTTTTTATATTTATAAATAATTTTCTTTTAATATTATAATAATAATTTTAATTTATTTTTATTTTTATTAAATCATTTTATAGATTATTATATTAATAAAAATGAATTGATAAAAATTATACGGTTTTTATTTATCAAAATATCACCCCTCAACAAAAAAAATGGTCCTACGAGACAGAAAATTACTGTGCCACAGATTCTATTTCACTTTTATTCCCCCTCAAACTCAAGCCCTGATAATCCGTTCTCCTCTTGCCGAATCCACCATTCTCCAAAAGCCACACTCCGCGTACTGCTCCATCAGTTCCAATTCCAAGCTTCACGTTTCCACTTCCACCGTCCATGACCTCAACCATCTGGACTCGATTTCATGTCACTGGTCTTCTTCTCAACCATTCAACAATCAGTATCCCTATTCTAAACCACAATTCAATTATAACCTTCAATTCCTGTGTAGCGGAAGCCACACATGCTGAACGAGAACCAAGAGTGGAACCTGACGCCCTGCGGACTCTACTTCTTCATGTCCTGTTTGGTCGCTTTCGCCGTCGAAAGAGAGTGTGTTCACTTCTTTCTCCGCCCTCTCCCCCTACGTGTTCCTTTTTTATTGATTGAAAAAAATATTTTGACACCAACATTTTTACAATTTTATATTATAATAATATTTTTAATTATTTTTATTTTTATTAAAACTTTCTATTATTATCATAGAAACTCCTTTTTTGTTTTTTCAAATTCCAATATATTTTATTTGATTTCTTCCTTAATCTCATATTTTCAAATAACGTAATTCTTTGTTACTTAAAACGTATAATAACTAATCATTACTATACATTTTGTATTTTCAGGGTGGCAACCTATTGTTGGAAACTCTTTTATCAACGAGGGCGACGGGGTCCAAGACTTTCGAAATGCAACAATCATAGTTCTAAGGTGATGAAGCTGTATCTAGGCTTCTGCGGAACTGAGTGAGTACTGATTAAACAGCTTTGATTCAACCATTGCTGTAATGTTTTCCAACACTTCTTTGTTCATCAAACATTTGGTGAAATGAAATGGAAGAATTATGACCTTATTCACTGCTTTATTATCGAACCTTTTTCTTCTTTCATCTTTATATCGTCCTATAACAATAATAATAAAAACAAATCTAAAATGTTTCTTTATCACTTTTAACAAAATAATAAGTATAATATCTAAATGCTTGAAATAGTTTCATATAAAATTAATTTCAAATGTCAAAAAAAAAATAAAAAAATCTCTAGCACGTGGACTCACTTCTCTCACTTGGCATTTGTCTCCCGTTCATACCCGAGACTCTCTTTTTCCCCACTCAATCACACTCCACACGTTTAAGACACCACCCACTCACCAAGAGCCAAAACACAAACATTACGCCGGACGTAGAATAAAGGTACTTATTATCTTAAAAAATATAGAATATTAATTTATTGTATCATAATATTTTTAAATAAATCGTCATTAATATTAGATAATTTTTTAATAAATTTTAAAAAAGTATTCTGTTTTTTATATTCTCTTATCATATAATTTTTTTTAATAAAAAACTATTTAAAATAATTAATACTTTAATTAAGTATCTTACGAAATAAATTCCACTGAATATTAAAATAGTGTCTATGTTATCAGGGGAAACCCAACTCTTCTGCGTTTAATAATCGGATCGAAGGGAGCACCCGGTTAATGCTATTAACTTCGATGAAATATGAATATATATAATAATGTTTCTCTAATCAACAAATTCTATTAAGTTCTTGTTTTTTTTTTCTGCATTAAAAAGAAAAAGGAAATGTTTGATGGATGTATCTATTAAGTCAAATAATAATAAAAAATAGGGTGAAAGAATGAATAGAGAGTGAGACATCAATAATTATAAAGAATAAATATGGTAATTAATAAAAAATGTATTATGAAGATAGGAGATCGATTGAGAGGTGTTATTGAAGATGAGGATTGAGAAATATCGAATAGTCAAAACATCACCATCAAGAATCAAAGATCAAAGAAATAAGGAGACTCTAAGCTATGGGACACCGCGAATCAAATAAACATATTAAAGAAATATAATATTAGGAAATCTTCATGTAATACGTGGATATAGTTATTATCTAAATCCTTTATATACATACTTATAATTGACATGTATCAATAGAGTGAATTGAGGAATATAGGAAGCGAGTGTGAGAATATAACATTCAAAGATTTTATTATTATTTTTTTATTTTTATTTTTATTTTTATTTTACGATTTTGGTTGTTATATTGATAAAATATAAATAAGATAAAATAAATATAAATAATTTGATTCTCAAATTATCTGAAGATTTATTCTAAAAAATAATAAAAATACTGAATAAGTATTTTCAATTAAGTTTGTTGAAATTTGAATAGTTAATTTTATTGATTTTTTTATTAATTTATGTTTTATCCTTAATAATGATGGGTTATATTTATCTTTTAATCGTTTATTTTTCTCATATCGTAAATTTGTGAAATTATATTTAATTTTTAATTAAATCGAACAGCAAATATTTTTTAGATTTTTTTTTCGTAATGCATTAAAAAATCGGGAACATTTACTTAATTTAGTTGACACTAAAAAAACACTTGAATTAAAACGAAGGGTTTTGTTTTTACCGAAAATTGATTCGAGAGACACAAACAGGGGTAGTACAGGTTTGATAAAAAGATATTTCGTTATTTAATTTGAATTTCCACACGAGATTTAGCTGGTTAAATAGAGGGACTCAGATAAAACGAGGTTTTAGGCCTCTTTCTACATGTGATGTGCCAACAATTATGGCTCACGACCATTATAATTTTTCTTTATTTTATTCTTTGGGATATACAGAAGGGTGGAATCTTTATTTGTTAGTTTTTATAATTGAAGGTAGTGGTATTTTCAGTAATTCATGGGCTAGACGCTGAACCAAGGAAAGCTCTGGCTTCATTTTTATGTGGTCCATGCTATTCAAACCTCCCTTTTTCTCTTCTGTCACCCCATACCCTTTTCACTTTTGTTTTTAATATTATGTATTTTTCTCCCATCTCCACACCCAACATCCCTGTTCTTTTCGCAAATTTTATCCAAACAATGTACTTACGTTATAAATTAAAATAAAATAAAGTTATGCAATATAAATTTTTTAATGTGTTAAAAAACCTAAAATTATAAGTTTGAATTCAACTTAATTTTGATTTATAAATCTACCCAATTCACATTTTTATTAAATGTGAAATTGTTTCAAAATATAAAGAATAATTTTAATTTGATAAAATAAGATTTTTGACGAATAGTTATCTGACAAAATAATTTCAAAAAGACAAATATTACAGTAAAATATTACTATAATTTATTTAAATTAAATTCTAGTAATATTTTATTATAGTATTATAATTTTTAAATTTTTTCTTACTATGATATTATTTATAATTGTAGACCAATAAATATAAATTTATACTTTATTATTTTTTAAACAAAAGTTATACTTTGTTATTATTATTATTATTTTTATTATTATTATTATTTTACTTTTTAAGATTTTCAGGATTAACATGTGTTAATTTTCAGGATTAAATAGTTTGTAAAAATTAACATGTGTTAATTTTCGGGATTAAATAGTTTTTAATTATTTTTATATTTTTAAAATTTTATCCTATTATTATTTTCAGTGTTAATTCACTACAAGAAAATCGCAGTATTACTGACGGATATTTACTGAACGGATTTGTAGCCAGTCGGAAAATAATCATTACCGACTGAAATTACCGACTGGATATAAAATATTTGTGGAATTTGATGTTACCGACGGATATATCCGTCGGTAAAATAATAATTAGTTACCGACTGAATATATCCATCGATAAATCCGTCGATAATTTATATATGAATTTATTGATCGGATATATTCATCGGTAAATCAGTCGGTAAATTAACAATTAATTACCGACTGAATATATCCGTCAATAAATTCATATGTAAATTAACAATTAATTACCGAACAAATATATCCGATCGGTAAAATTATATAATATAATTTAATTATTCACCTAATTAAAAAATAAAATATTTTTTATTTAATAATTTAATTTAATCATAATTAGATTAATTTATAATAATTTATTAAATTAAATAATTTTAAAAAATAAATATTTAATTATATATAAATATATATAAATATATAAATATATAAAAATATATAAATATATAAATATATAAAAATATATAAATATATATATAAATATAAAAATATATAAATATATAAATATATAAATGTATAAATATATAAATGTATAAATGTATAAATGTATAAATATATAAATGTATAAATGTATAAATATATAAATGTATAAATATATAAATATATAAATATATAAATATATATAAATGTATATAAATATATTTGTATATAAATATAATTTATTTGTAAATTGTTATCAAGAAATTCTAGTAGCTTAGTTGTTGGACTATCAGCTATCGACTTCTAAGGTATTGGGTTTGAATCCTACTAATGACATTTTTATTAATCTCACAATAATTCAAAACTATAAGAATATAATATGGAGAAATAAATAATAAGAATATAATAAGTAAAATATTTAATAAATAATAAAATTATTTCCAACTGATTTTGACCGTCGGTAATTTTAATATTTTTTGTAATGATTTACTTCATTTTAAAACAAAATAATCAATTTATCTGCGTCAATTGTTTATTTTTGCAATGTGTGGTTTATATCTTATAATTACGTTAATATAACATTTATTATATTAGTATCATTTATTGTTTTTCTATTAAATAATTTAATAAAGTTAACCGATAAGATATGGTCGATTTATTTATTTATTTTTAAAAAAGACCAAATTAACACAATAAATAATAGTAAAATAAAATTAAAAGAAAAATTATTTAACTAATTTTAAGTCATATAGTTAGGCATTAACGTTTACTTTTCCTACTCTTATCATGAAGTCTTTAATCATTATTGATTTTTGTTGGGTTAGAAATTAAATCTTTATCTAGATTAATTAGTTTTTGAGTTTTTTCTTTTCTCATACTCATTCTACATTATTTCTAAAAATAATTATATATAATAAATTAATTCTAATATTTTTTAATGTATTTTTTGTGACGTATATTTTTTTTATTATTATACAGTATAATAATATTATATAGTACAAAACTTCATAGTGAAATTTCTTTCACACCGCCATATTCTATATATATATATATATATATATATATATATATATATATATATATATATATATATATATATATATATATATATATATATATATATATATATATACACGAAAGGAGGAGATGAAGAATTGCACCAAGTGATTTTCCCTCCCATATCAAGCGTTCTTTGTCACTTTTCTTCTTTCATTTCAATTTCAACCAATGAAACTCTACTCGTGCGAGGATCTGGTGAAACGGGAGAGAACTTGAATTAAGTGAAAAGCCTTCGGTAATAATATCACACCAAGTAAGGGGAAGTTTAATTCATTCAATATATTATACTGAATTGTTGGGTACTCTGTGAATAAGGAATAGGAGTATAAATCTGAATTATTTGAATGATTGATTTTGAAGATTTCTTCATGTTTTAAAAGATTGAAATTTTATTGAAAATCTTGAAATTAAGGATGAATTGTATGGTAAAATTGTTGTTTTTGAGTTAAAATAGACATATCTCATGTTTAATTTGGATTTGGAACTAGTTTGGTTGCTTGAAACTAAAAAAATTGAAATCTGAAAATTTTGATATGGTTATTGGACGCGAGTTTGAAGAAAGAGGTAAGAGAGAAATTTTTGAAAAAGATCAATGGTAATATAGTCATTTCACATCCTAGGGATATAAATGGAATTTTGAAAAAAGATTAAGGGTATAATGGTA